CCTTTAGTTTACTGGGAACACGGTTCTGTTACAAAAATTTTGCGCTGTGTGAAACCAGAAACGTGGCATGGTGTTACACGGGATTTCTTTGATACAACCAGAATCCACTCATTATTGTTGTGTAATACGAATTCTTGACTGTTGGGTTTTAATACGGATGTGCTGATTGGTCCACAGTTGGATTGGAAATGGCCAATGTTCACCAAGTAATGAAATATCTGATTTTCTTTCTTTGATTTTCTGGTTCGTGAGCACCTTATGGCTGAGTGCTTAATAGATGTTAGCATATTCCAAGTGTGTATGTTTTTACTAGGGGAATATTCAAAATAAGTTGTAATTTCTTTAAGGTAGAAAATGAAGTCAGAAGAAGCTTCAAGGAACCACTGAGTTTTAGTAAGGCCCTGTGATGGACTTGCGACCTGTCCAGGGTGTTTCCCGCCTCTCACACAGTGATAGCTGGACATGGACACCAGTGGTGCTTGGCTTCTATCTCCATCTTTGCCAGGCTGTTATACCATCTGGTTATCTGATGACTGACACTGCATACGTGTTGATGGCTCTGACTTTGTTCTTACATCTAGATAACTCTTCAGGATCTTCCTGCAGACGTATCGGTGTAGATTTGTACTCTTGAAAAAACTCACTCGGCAGGTCAAGGCAATTTTAAAGAAAACTATAAACTGGAATTAACTTTGAAACTTGCTTCCAGTAGATTTCATTTACACATATTCACTCAAGTGCTTTCAAATTCTCGCTTCCATTTCTGATTAGATAAGATGGTGACGCTTGCATCACTATGACCTGTGATAACGCGTGGCGGCGTCACCAGTTGTGTTCCACTGCAGTCAGCGTACTGTTGCTGTTGCTGCCGTCTCCTTGGTGCAGCAATTCAGTTTTGCTGCATCAATACTTGGTTAAGCTGCTGGCCTACGCTTGTGAACTGAAGATCCTGCATGCTAACTGTAATTAGCACTGTGCATTCTAAGGGACTAAAAATAAGAGCGACGGTGCAACAGGTGCTCATCAATAAGGAAAAATACAGTGCAAATGAATGATGGAAGGCTCAATTTTTTAAAACGTTTTTATTTGTTTCCCGCCTCAAAATTATTTGCAACGCCTTGAGAAATAGTTTAACTGTACAAGAACATCATTCAGTCCCTTCCAGCCGCAGCGCTCGGCTCATCCGGAAGTTGAGAACTGAATGTAATGAAGGCCCAAGTGTCTGCTTTTGAATACTTACCAAGTGAAACTTTATACTGGAGGAATTGGACACAGATACACGGGCAGCATTAAGTGTTGAGGAAAGACGGTGGGAATCTCCCCGTGGTCTCAAAGCAGATTTAACTGCGGTTGTTACCGGGGAAACCGGCTGAAGGCACTCCCAAATGAATAATTGATGAGCGGGTGTCACCATATGTGTGAGCTTTGCAGCAGGTTTGGTACCTGCAGAACTGGAGCAGGAGAGACCTCTGCTGGTTGTAAAGCAGCGACATGAACGGAGAATTCGCCCCCTTGCTGAATGAATAACTGACATTAAATACGCATTTGTTGTTGGGGGGGGGGGGGGGGGAGATGCTCAAGCCTTTCTCATTTTGTTGGTAATCAGCTTGGCGTTCTGAAAAGAAAGTGCGCCTCCTTGTTCTTGTAAAAGGGATCCGATTTGAAGGAGCAACAGCAGGGGAGCTGACCTTCTCCTCCGCTCTCTCGTTCTTTTTTGTTTTGTTTTTGTTTTTTCTTCGGGGCTTCCACGGCTGCATTCAATCAAGCGATGCTTATGCAGTATGTGATGTTTATGCAACTGCTGCCCACGTTTGCAGAGGCTTTCATGCACACCAACACACACGGATAAACGCCCACGACTACGTCGGAGCAAAGTGTCAGAGTAATTTTTCTTTTCATTTAAATAGTGTTAATACCGCCACCGAAATGACACAAGTGCTTTAGTTAAAAGGTTTTTATTTGTGTTTAATAATGTGCGCAGGACAAAGAGGTGACGGTAGTAAAAAATAGTTGCTACTCTTTAAATGTTATTACCGGTAATTTGAAAGAAAAATCCATGAAATACATGGATCAAACGCTCAGCGAAGCAAACCCCAACAAAGTCTGGCCCAGTTTTAGATGCACTTGTGCTCACAGTTGCCTGGACCCGCAGTTAGTTCGCTTGCTATGACGAACCTGAAGCAGGAAAGTCCCCCATGGTGACCGAGCCCCACGGTGTCCTCTTTCCTCAGACTGGCCTTGTGTATCAGAGAAGCTGCAGCTTCTATATACGGCACAGATATATTTATGTTTGGCAGCTTTCATGTTTGCCTGTACTCCAAGGTTCACTCAGTGTCTTAATCATGGGTGAGGTTACATGAGGTACACCATGGTCAGGGTTTCTGTGTGCACAGGTACCATGTGATCACATACAGTGCTTAACAATAATCTCGAGTCACCCTCTAAACTCTGTATGTTTTCTTCCAAAGAGCCAGACTTTCTTGTGATCGTAGTGGTCTTGCTCAGTCGTTTCCCAGGCTTTTCAAAGGAGAAAAATGGAGTATGGTTGTTTTTTTTAATTCATTTTCTTTACCTGAGCATTTTTACAAGAATGTTTGTGATGTTGCCGAACAACTTTACTGCAACCTTCAGGCATATGAAGGTTCCTAAACTCAAAGTATAAACCATTTGTTTGCATGTTTGCATCTAACGAATAACAATTAATGAATGAATAGGATTATTTGCTGGAAACTGGCTAAAGTACTAGCTAGCTAGTTTATCACTTACTACTTGGTTCTTTATCTAGCTACTAGCTAGCTAGTTGTTTTTTTAAAGTCTCATCTTCTCATCGTTAACATTTCATTGCATTGTTGACCTTGCATTAACCTGCATATGACAAATAAACAACATAACAACCAATACTAATGTTCCAGGTGCTCTAGTTTTTAACTACAAGTACTTTTTCTAGTAACTGTTTAATCACAGTTACTGACCAGCTAGTAACTAACTAGCTAATAACAAATTTACATAAAACTAGGTGAATAACCAAATCTAAACCATACATTTAGCTGCAAACTAGTTAAAGTACTAGCTAGCGCCCTAGGTATTAATTTGCTAGCTATTTAGTAGAGATGCACGATATTATCGGCATGGTATTGTATCGGCCGATATTGGTGATAAAGTTAAATATCGGATGTCGGTCATTTCATCACAGTAACTCACAGATATAAAAGGCGCTATATACAGTGTGTGTGTATGTATATATATGTATATTTTATATATATATATATGGCACTATTTTTGTATGACAATGGGTGACAAGGATGCCTTCAGCATTATGACGTCAGGCGCAACGTTGAGTTTAGACTTGTGAAAATTTACAAACCTGCTCTGTTCGAGTGTTGTTATTGTGTTAGAGTAAATGTCGTGAATAAATTAGACATTAAACATAATCTAAGTTGAAGTGTTGCATCATTTTCAACCTCCTTTTTGGCATCTGCATTTGGTAACGGACCAAATTGACAAAGACCATGCAGAAGCCCGTGGTGCTGGTGCTCCGTGTAAATGTAGTATTTTAATTCCACAGCAGATAAAGCTATATACTCTCTGTAAGTAGGTCTAGGGGAAAAAATATCGGTATTGGTATTGGTTATTGGTCAAATAAGTTTTAACATATCGGATATCGGACAAAATGTCAGTATCGTGCATCCCTACTATTTACCACTTTAGCTAGCTTTTAACCTCCTTTAGCTATCAGTGCTTTAACTAGTAACTGCATTTGTGAAGTTACTAACCAGCTAGTAACTTGCAAGCTATTCACATATTCCATAAAACTGAGCTAATTCTAAAGTCAATATTATCAAGTTTCTAGCTAATAAAAATAGTTAGCTACCTAGCTAGTAACTTTTTAGTTTTTTAGCACTTTATCTAGCTTCTAATATTCCTGATACTGTAACCTTTAGCTGTAGGTACTTTAACTAGTAATTGCATTTTTCAAGTTATTAGCAAGCCCACAAGTAAATGTGCTACTAGCTTGCAACTTTGAACGCTAGTAACAGACTTACATACAACTTAGCTTATTTTAAACCTAATATTTAGCAAGTTTCTAGCTAAAAAATAATATACTAGCTAGCCTCCTAGCTAGTAACTTACTAGCTATTTAGCACTAGCTAGCTACTTATATTCACAGTATTTTAGCTTGTAACTGCTAAATCATCATTATTGCAGCTAATAACAGAGTTTCTAGAAATAAGCCCACAGTTTTTTTAAGGTGCGCTGTGCTCGTTTCCCTGAGTGTTTAAGAAAACATCTGTCTGTAAATATTGATCATTATGAGGTTTTGTCTTTTTGTAGTTTTTGCCCCAGACATTACGTTTTTCTGCCTGATCTCAGTAGAAATAGCTTCTGCGTTGCCTAATAAAACATGCTGAGCCTAAATGCTGACTCTGTCTGAGATATTCATGTGTCCAGTCCTTTTAAATGACAGAGCTGCGGGACTGTTAATCAATACGCTGATGAATTCATCCAAAGGAGGGGAAAATAATCAATTTCTCTCTTTTCCAGCAAATATTGGGTACCTTAATACTGATGCTTGAGCAATTCTCTAACCTTAATTTTCACAACTCCGGTTGTATTTCAGCTCATAAATTATTTCTGCTGTCTGGGTGAGAGATTGACAAATCACTGGTGTGTTCAAACTGATCCATCACTTTTTTTTTGTCATCACCAGAGGTTGACTGACAAAACCTTGTGTTCCACCCAGACTTGAGTCTTGATGTGGCTGACAGATTCGGTTGTTTTCACACCTGTATTGCCAAACAAAGTTCTGCAGGAATCGTGTTTTATTTTTTTTAATCACACCTCATAGACACCTGTAACTAATGACTCATAAATCAAAAATTATAAATGACAAAAACACCCAGAGAGCTAGAATGCCTGAAGCAGAAAATACGTTAAAAGATGTGCAAAGCAGTGTTTTGTACAAAGTGTATCCTAAGTGCCGTGCGTTTGTCCGTCCACAGCGGCCGTGCTGAAGTACGAGAACAACGTGATGAACATCCGACAGTTCAACTGCTCACCTCACCCTTACTGGCTGCCCAACTTCATGGACGTCTTCACCTGGTCTCTGCCTTTTGTTGGGGAGAAGGGTGAGTGTGCAGACATGCATTAATTACACAAAATGAGAGGATTGAACAGAAACAGTTCATTCAGACTTCATCAGTTAATCAGAAAACACACGTGTTGCAGTCGTACTGTGTCGAGTTCTCACCTAGAGCCAGTAGTTTTGCTGCAACATGCACAAATTGGTGTTTGTTTTAATCAGATGTAACGGATTTGTTTCATTCGTGTCAGCACAACTGCGATGTGTTTCCAAAAATGTGGGGAGCTGAGCTGACCTAATCCCTAACAATAATCACAACTTAAAGAACTTTTATATATATATATATATATAATTAAGTATTATTTATAGGGATTCATGATATTATTGGCATGGTATCAGCCGACATTAACGATAAAGTTAAATGTCGGACATCGACCATTCCATCAAAATAACTCACCAATATAAAAGGCGCAGTTTATATATATATATATATATATATATATATATATATATATAGTGTTACATCATTTTCAGCTTCTTTTTGGCATCTGCATTTGGTAGCAGGCCAAACTGACAAAGCCCATGCAGAATAATGTAGTATTTTAATTCCACAGCAGAGAAAGCTATGTAGTCTCTGTAAATAGGTCTAGGAGGAAAAAATATCGGTATTGGTATCGGTTATCGGCCAAATAAGTTTTAACATATCGGCATATCGGTCAAAAATCCAATATCGTGCATCCCTAATTATTCACAAGAATATTATTTATCACACCCTCTACAAGAGTCAATTAAAACGGCTTTATGATTCAGAATTATTGCCTATTCCACGTTTTGGTTTTTAAAAGTGTTAGGATGAAGACTTTTAACTCATTAGTTCAACCACTTGAAGCAAAGGCTTCAGGCACATAGACATGTGCCGCAGCTAATTCAACTAACTGAAGATATTTGTGACCCATACTGGTAAAATGAGTCGCAACGAGGAATTTCTTAATATTGAGTTATTAATATTTTCAAATTCTCTATCTCAAAAGCTTCAAAATGATCCGGAGTTTGTCGTAGTTTTCAAATTTGTTGATGTATCACCTGGTGGCGACAGAGTACCGGTAGTTTTGTTCACGAGTATCCCGATTTAAATTTTTTATTTTTATTGGTCTGGAGAGATGTCTTCAGGAATTCCAGCCCACTGTGTAAAAAAAAAATGGAATACATAAATGTGACCGTGACGTCAAACATTATACAAAGGGATTTCCCAGCAGAGAAATGTGTACCATTTCAGAGGAAAATATAACAATAAAAAAACTTCTACTTAGACTTGAAGGTAGATTAGGAAGATTGTATGTATTTTAGTTGCCATTCTCATGAGATGGTGTCTTTATGGACACAACTTTACACAAATCTCCTCAAAAATCTGTATTTTCAGTCATTCCTCTGGGATCTGTCTCACTTTGACTGTCATCTTGTTCTATTAACCGATGACGTGAACTCCGCTTGGAACTATTTTCATAATAGTTTCATTTATTTTGTGAACAAACATGCTCCTTTTCATCAGTTCAGAATAAAGGGACGAGACAGACCCTGGTTTACTCCAGAGCTAGCTGACCTCCTGCACAGGAGAGATGATCTTTGGGCTGCAGCGAGAAAATCTGACTCAGACACTGACTGGTTGAGTTTTCGACAGATGAGGAATAAATGCACAACTGCTGTTAAAGCAGCAAAACGCAACTATTTCTTATCTCAGACCTCCAAAAATCTAAATGATCCCAACAGATTCTGGAAAACCATCAAATCTCTCTCAGGCACCCCCCAATCATCTGACCTCCCATCACAACTTCTCGTTAACTCTGTTCCTGTGTCAAATAAGCACGAGATCCTGAACTGTTACAACAAACATTTTGTTGCTTCTGGTTCTTTATTTGACACAGTTACTAATGGAAAATCAGCCACTTCACTTAATAATCAAACTTCTACAAATTAAATCCCTCCTACAAGTCAATCCTCAGTTAATCACAGCTTCTCTTTTTCTCCATTCTCAGTCAGTGAGGTCAATTAACTGTTAAAAGATCTTGATCCTAAAAAATCTGCAGGTCCAGATGAACTTCCACCTTATTTCTTAAGGCTGGCTGCTCATATCATCACAGTCCCTGTGACCCACATCTTCAATCTCTCCATAAGACAAAACTCCATCCCAGACACTTGGAAAACGGCCTTTGTTCTTCCTTTGCTGAAGGGAGGAGACCCCACCTCACTGAACAACTATCGACCAATCTCTAAACTCTGCATTTTAGCCAAGGTTCTAGAAAAACTGATAAACTCTCAAATCAAAGATTACCTGGACTCATTTAACATCTTACCTCTCCATCAATCTGGTTTCAGGAAACAACACAGCACAACCACTGCTTCACTGAAGGTTCTTAATGATGTTGTTGAAGCACTGGATGCTAAGGATTATTGTGCTGCACTTTTCTTAGACCTGTCTAAAGCTTTTGACACTGTGGATCATAACATCTTGTGTCATAAACTCTCAAAAATCGGTTTCTCAGATCACACCATTGGTTGGTTCTCTATCTCTCAGACCGGAGGCAATGTGTTCAACATAATGGTACTTCCTCCAGTTATTTAACAGTCAACAATGGTGTACCACAAGGCTCAGTCTTAGGACCCACCCTCTTTACAATCTACATACATAACGTAGGTAAAAACATCCCTAATGCATCCATACATTTCTATGCTGATGACACAGTTGTTTATTGTCGAGCTAAAACTGTTGCTAAGGCTTTCCAGCTTTTGAAATCTGCATTCAACATCATCCAGACTGATTTGTTCCACCTCAAACTTGTCCTAAATGCCGACAAAACCAAAGGGATGCTTTTTTTCAAATAGGAAGTTGGTCCCAGCAGTTCTTCCTCCGATTTTATCCTCAAATGGTGTCCCCATTGAGTTTGTTGATTCCTATAAATATTTGGGTATCTTGGTCGACTCACATCTTTCTTTTAAGCTCCATGTGGAAAACTTGGTAAAGAAACTGAAAGTTAAACTGGGTTTCTTTTTCAGAAACTGATCCTGTCTAACTCTGAATGCTAGGAAACACCTTGTAACTGTGACTTTACTTCCCTCAATTGATTACGGTGACATTATTTACATGAACGCTCCTACAAGAACCCTGCAGATGTTGGATGCTGTCTATCATGGTGCACTAAGATTCATAACTGGCTGTGATTATCGTACCCACCACTGCACCCAGTATTCACTGGTTAACTGGACATCATTAACTTCACAGACTCTCTCACTGGTATATTTTCATCTTTAAATCACTTCTTGGTCTGCTGCCTTCATACATCTCCTCCTGCATGTCTCTGCGTGAGTGCAGCTACAGCGTGCGCTCTCAGGACATTATTACCTGCAGTGTTCCCTCAGTGAGGACTGAACTAGTCAAAAGGGCCTTCTCCTACTCTGCTCCTGTTTTCTGGAATATCTTACAAAAAGTCCTGAAGCTCTCGACCTTGACCTCTCTAAGTGTCTTTAAGAATCTGTTGGACTCCTGGCAGGGACCAATGCAGACATGTTCCTGTTTTTAGTTTTTCTACATTCGTCTTAGAATCTAGCAGTTTTTTTGTTACTTTTCTTTTTTTAGCCATCCTATATGATTAAAAAAAAAATCTGTATGCGTTTTTATAACTGTTTATTGTCGTCATCTTTCTTTGTTGAAATCAGGTCTCTCTTGTAAATGAGTCCTCGAGCCTCAATGGGATTTACCTGTCTAAATAAATGTTGAATGAATTTTCACACTTTTTGCACAGCAGCCTGTGTTCAGTTGAACTCATTTTTCCAGCATGGGTCACAAACGTGTTCCTTCATTCTCACCGGTCCGATGAATCAGCTCGGAGGCGTGCGCACATTTTATGTAATCAAACTGGCACAACAGCAGAAGCAGGCGAAGGGTCACTACAAAGTTTTGTTGTTGGGACGGAGGTTGAAAATGGTGCCAAATCTGGTAATCCGCCATGATGCAATGTGGTCGTGTTAGCAGTATGGCAGGCACCAGTAAAAAAAAAAAAAAATTGAATGAAAGAAAAACCAGTTGTTTATAAAAATAAGTTTTATTTGAATTCTTAAGGACTCTCGTGTTCAATAATCACTGCATCCAATCCTAGTTTTACCTTTACTATAAAAGCATCTCCAGGGATTATTAGTTTTTAATTATTTACCTAAATAAAAATTTTAAAAAATTATTGTTCATCCTAAAATTGCAAATTAACATAGATTGTGATTTTTTTTTTTTTATTGTACTGAGTTTAAAATGTACTTTTATTAAAATTTTGTTGTAGATACCAGTTTATGCCAGTAGGTGGCACCATTAACATAAAGACAGATAATGACTTGTTTTATACTGTAATTATTTACAGCATACTATCCCATATACATGTATATAAATGGATTTATTTGTTGTTCCTGTTCAGTGGCACAACAGGTCACATTTCTCAGGTTTCACCCGAAGAGAGGAGAATAAACTGAACAAGTTCGTCACAGTGGATGTAAAACACCACATAGAAGATTTGAGATAAACTCAGGGTTTATTTTAAAACGCTGCACACTGAATTAACTATATTTCCTTTTTTTTAATAACGTCTCAACTCTGCTGCTATTGAGGCCAGAGGAGAGCTTCTGCGGGAGCTGATTTACGTCCGTCCTAAAAGAAGATGAGTGGAGCCTGTTCAGAGGAGCGTTGTTTGTTGCTCCTGTGTTCTGGCTTTTAAAAACAGCTACATTAGTCACGTGAGACAAGTGTTTCCACTTCTGCATTTGAAACAAGCAAGAGCAGATAAAAATTCAACGACCGTAAAGCATTTCCAACAAGCCGCTTGTAAATATGATGGCTTCTTTTATACTTTACTATATGCAACCTGTGTTAGCAAAATAAGTTAGAAAGAGCACCAGCTACAGAACAAAAAAGTAAAAATATAGTTTTTTTGTTGTAATGATGAGTTTATAAAAGCACCGTCTTTTAACCCCAGTAACTAAAACTGTGAATAATCTTCATAATCTACATTTAAAATAAAGTTTTCCAGCAGATTTGTCTTATAACAGAGTGAATGTTTATGAAGCATTCACTCTGTTGTGATCCATTTTTCTTCCGTACGTTTTTCAGCATCTTTCTTGTTCCACAATTTTTGTGCTATTTCAACAAATCAAAACGTTCAGCTGTTTCCTGCCATGATATTTTGGTATTGGTGCAACGTTAGCTTTTTGAAATATTTAGCATTTTCTGCCGTTTTTACTCATAGAAAATGAACAGAGCTCATTTTACATCCTTCAGATCTTTAGATCTGTTTACAAACTTTTACTGCTCCTTTCACATTTTGTTCTGCTTCAGCTTTCTTGTGCAAATTTTAACATTTTCAGCTACTTTCAGCTGTTTCTTTTTACTTAACTACAACATTTTTGTGCTTCTTCGAACTTCTTTCTACTAATTTCAGCTTGTTGTGCTCCTCTCAGTTTATTTCTACAAGTTTCAGCTTTTACTATTTCAGTTACTGTTTAGCTGTTTTTATGCTAATTTTTGCTTTTTCTGCTAATTCCACATTTTTTGCACTCATTTCAACTTTTGTCAGCCTAATTCAGAAAAAATACTCTCTATACTTCTTTTTGGTAATTTAAGCTTCTTTCAGCTTTGTAGCCACTTTTCAGCTGTTTTTTGCTTCTTTCAGCATTTTTAAGATAATTTCCACTTTTTTTGCTCATTTCTGCTGCTTTCAACAATCGTGTTCTTTCTACTTTCTTCTGCTAATGCTGCTTGTTCTACCTATTCAGCTACTTTTTTTATTATTTTTTAACTAATTTCAGCTGTTTTCAGATAAATTCAAGTTTTTTGTAGTAATTTCTGCTACTTTCAGCCTAATCAACTTCTGTCTGCTAATTTCAGCTTGTTATTCTCCTTTCGGCGTTTCTCTGCTAGTTTCAGCTTTTTCTGCTGTTTCAGCTACTATTTAGCTTTTTATGTGCTAGATTTAGGTTTTTCAGCTAATTCCTCTTTTTTAAGCTAATTTCAGCTCCTTCCACTTCCTTCTGGTCATTTAAGCTTCTTCCTGCCTTTTGGGGTATTTTTCTTTGGTAAATTCAGCCTTTTTTTAGCTAATTTCCTATTTTTTGTGCTCACTTCTGCTTATTTAAACCTAATTCAGCAAATATACATTATTTCTGCTTTCTTTTGCTAATTTTGGCTTGTTCTTCCATTTTAGCTACGTTTCAGCATATTTTTAGCTAATTTCAGCTGTTTTTCATCAAGTTCTTATGCAATAAGCATTCACACTGTATTTTCGCAGGAAATGCAATTTCTCTAGTTTACTTTGAAATTGGCCAATTTTTCTTTGCTGGCTACTGGGAAATCCCTTCATATAATGCTTGGCATAATTGTAAAGCTTGGGGATTCTCCTTTTTTGAATATACGTCTAGAGTTACGAATATCATTGTTCCAGATAAATAAACACATTTTTGCACCAGCTAACTTCAACCCTGGTGATAAATCGCCAAATTTCAACAAACGATCATCATTTTGAATCTTTTGAGATGAAGAACTCATTGTTGGAAAATCTCGTCAACTTGTCAGCGCAGGCCACAAGTAGTAAATAACAGTTCTTTAAGCGTCAGTAATGTTTACCAGAACTAAAATAAAAATACTACAAACATCTTCAAAGAATCTTTTGGTGTTTTGGAGTTCAGCGCTGACACATCTGCACCGGTTAATCACACACGACCGCCGCTGACTCACCGACTGCAGGGAGCCCGTTTTAGGTCTGACCCCTCAGCACAAGACCGTTCCTCACAAGGCTGCGAGGTCGCCGTTGGACAAGAGGACAAATGGAAGTCCACCCGCTTTGAATTCAAGAGTTTCATGTGTCACTTTAAAAACAAGCTGGTCTTTATCAGGTTCTAAAATTAGTCAAATCTAAACTCAAGTGACCCGAAAACACACAACGGGTTCCAACATGTCGTTATTTATTGAACAAAGCCAAAATGGATGGAAAAAGCTACATTTCCATCTCTACAGGTCAGCAGGTTAAATATTAACGTTCATGTCAGGACACTTAGCTTTAGAAAGGCCAGCAGGAGAAATTCTCTTCCATCTTAAGAATAAAGGCAACATGAGTTGGGTTTGCAGTTCTGACTCGGCCACACAGCTTCCAGAACAACGTCCTGTGAACAGATGGAAACTGATTTGATGTTTACCCATAATGCACAGCATCTCAGCACAAACACCTCGTACCAGCTGTGGGGGAGGAGGTGGAAGTATGATGCTGTGAGGACACATTGAGTCCATCACAAAGTATTTGATTACCATGGGGGAGGGGGGAGGCTGCTAGGAGAACTTCACTGCTAACAGAACCACACTTGCCAACAGAACCACTCTTAACAGGACCATGCTGCTAGGAGAACCTCACTGCTAACAGAACCACACTTGCTAACAGAACCACTCTTAACAGGACC